TTTATTTTACAGCTAATATCCACTTATGAGTGAGTACATACCATGTTTGTCTTTCTGGGTCTGGGTTACCTCACTCAGCATCATTTTTTTTCTAGCTCCATCCATTTGCCTGCAACTTTTCTGATGTCCTTGTTTTTTAACAGCTGAGTAATACTCCATTGTGCATATGTACCACATTTTCTTTATCCATTCCTTGGTTGAGCTCAGGACATCTAGGTTGTTTCCAGGTTCTGGCTATTACAAATAATGCTGCTATGACCATAGTCAAGCAAGTGTCCTTGTGGTAGGATTGAGCATCCTTTGGGTATATGCCCAAGAGTGGTATAGTTGGGTCTTGTGGTAGATTGATTCACAGTTTTCTGAGAAACTGCCACACTGACTTCCAAAGTGGCTGTATAAGTCTGCACTCCCACCAGCAGTGGAGGAGTGTTCCCCTTGCTCCACATCCTCTCCAACATAAGCTGTCACTTGTGTTTTTGATCTGAGCCATTCTGACAGGTGTAAGGTAGAATTTCAGAGTTGTTTTGACTTACACTTCCCTGATGGCTAAGGATGTTGAACATCTCCTTAAGTGTTTCTCGGCCATTTGAGATTCTTCTGTTGAGAATTCTTTGCTTATCTGTATCCATTTTTTAATAAGATTATTTGATTTGTTGATATCTAGTTTCTTTAGTTCTTTATATATTTTGGAGATCAGCCCTCTGTCAGATGTAGGGTTGGTGAAGATCTTTTTTCCTTTCTATAGGTTGCCGTTTGTCCTATTGACAGTGTCCTTTGGAAAAGGCACCTTTTTTAAAGATTTAATTTTTACTTGGCATGCATGAGTGTTCTGATTGTACATGTACCACATGTGTGCCTGATGCTCAAGGAGGCTAGAAGATGAAATTGGATCCGCTGAACTGGAGTTATGAATGAGTGTGAGCCACCATGTGGGTGCTGGGAGCTGAATTCAGGTCTTCTGCAAGAGCAGCTAGTGCTCTTAACTCCTGAGCCATATTTCCAGCCCCTCAGCTGACTTTTTAAAAGTCTGCTTATTGGATGACTGAAGGGTAAGGATATAAGTGTCAGATTAAGAGAAAGATCAGAGGGTGTGATCCACTGTGGATATGTGATAAAGGGAAGGAAGACATCAGTTGTGGCCTGGTGGTGAGTTGTTAGATTATGGTTACATCTAAATAGATAGGGAATAGATAAAGAGGGTGGGAGAAACACAATGCCCACCCCATTGTCTTCAATGGACTTCCCAGAAACTGTGAAGCATGTTTCCTTATTTATGGGGCAAAAGAGACCCTGCAGAGATCCTTAAATTAAGGACATGGCTCCACAGTTAAGACCATTGCCACTGTTGCAGAGGACTCAAGTTCAGTTCCCAGCACCCATGTTGGGTGTCTCACAACTATCTGTAACTCCAGCTCCCAGGTATCTGGCGCCCTCTTCTGGCTTCTGCGGGCACCACACACACTTGTGTATCCACACACGTACACATAAGTAAAAATGAAATATAACTGTTAAAAATTAAGGAGTTTAGTCTGGGCAGTGGTAGTACATACCTTTAATCCCAGCACTCAGGAGGCAGAGGCAGGTGGATCTCTGTGAGTCTGAGGCCAGCCTGGTCTACAGAGTGAGATCTAGGACAGCCAGGGCTACATGGAGAAACCCTGTCTCAAAAACAAACAAACAAACAAACAAACAAACAAACAAACAAGAATAGGGAGCTTGCCATGGTTGGTTACTCTGGATTGTCCAGGTGAAGTCCCTTCTAGTCCCATGCCTATCCTGACCTCTTTTGCAGCCCCGCTCCTGCCTCCCTGTGTTCGCTTCAGTTCCTGATCCTGCCAAGTGCATTCCTACCTCAGGAACTTTGAACTTGCTCTTTCCTCTGTCTGCTCTTTTCATCACTCAGTCTCAGTCCAAATGCGAGCTGGCTCTCTGCTTCCAGATTTTTGTCCTGGAGCTTTGAGTACACTCTGTTCTGAAGGACTGGGTTGGGGCAACAGGATGCAAGCTCCTAGCCTGAGCCGGCTGGCATCCTCCCCAGCCCAAGTCCCGCCCAAGGTTGCGGGATGGAGCAGTGAGCATGAGTCATCGGCCACAGACACAGTCCCCTTGTTGGAGGGACCTGAGTAGTTATGTTGTGGCTAACTCCAAGAGCCAAGGGCTCGGTTGAAAGGGGAGGTTAGGAATTTCCCCAAGTTCCTCAGAATCACACAGGTCCAGGAGGAAGCCGGAGAGTGGAATAGCTGAGGATGGCTTGTGTAGATGATGCTGGAAGCTGAGGACTGCCATGCCTCCAGTCCTCATGTGGACAATGCAAGAAGCTCTCTGAGGACTGTTGTGTCCCTAACCCAAGCTTAAGCAGGCAATGCAGGTGTAGATGGCGCTTCCAGTGGTCTCACAGGGCTCACTATCCATTTAACCACCTACTGTGTGCTGGGCATCACATGACTTACCGTAGGTCAGATCCTACAGTCCGAGAGCCTGCAATCTGTACAAGGAGAGCTACTGACCTACCAAGTCTACAGCTTTACTGAGGACGGAAGGGCTCAGAGTTGGGAGGCATGGGCGCGGTTGTGGGGCAGGTGATGATGGGCAGCAAGAGGACCTGCTAAAGAGGCGGGGTAGCGGTGCTCTGCAGAAAGGCGAGCCAGCTGGGGTGCATTACCTTCTTAAGGATGATGTAACAAAGTACCACGGAAAGGATGAGTTAGTCACAGAAATTTATTCTCCTGCTCTGGAGTCTGGAAGCCAGAAATCAGTGTTGACAAGACCTCTTCCTTCAAATGCCTGACTCAGGGGAGGATGCTTCTGCCTCTCCCCGCTTCTGGTTGCTTCAAGCATTCTTTGGCTTGTGGCCACATCTCTGTGGTTTCTGCCTTCATCATCACATGGCTGTCTTTCCTCCATGTTTGCTTGTGTGCCTCTGTGTCTTTACATGCCTTTTCCTCTTCTTCTTGTGTGTATACCTAAATCCTCCTCATCTCTTCCATCTTTCTCCCTCCTCCTTCCCTCTTCCTCTTCTCCCACCTCATGGCCTCTTTGCCTCCTCTTCCCCTCCCCTTCTTCTCTCTCCCTCCTCATCTGCTTTTTGTTTTCTTGTTTTTGTTTTTGTTTTTCAGTAGACTGGACTTCACTCTGTAACTCAAGCTAGCCTTGAACTTACTACATATACTGTATAGCCCAGGTTGCCCTTAAACTCACAATCCTCCGGCCTCAGACTTCTGAGTGCTGGGATAACAGGTGTACTGTCCCACTAGAGCCAGCTTCAAATTTCCCTGTTTTTATAAAGGTTCCAGTCATACTAGATAGGGACTCACTTCTCTAGTGATCTAATTCAACTGCATTAAATTGGCCAAGACCCTGCTCCACATAAGGTCACCTTGCAGGTACCCGTGGTTAGACTTCAGTACATCTTCTTGCAGGCTGGGACACCGGAACACACTTGAGCAAAAGCAGTGAGCAAAGGCTTGGAAGGAGAGAGCTCAGGGCCAGATGGCTGGCTATTTTCTATTCCTCCACAACTTAAAAAACACATGTGTCCCAGGCTGGCCTCACACTCACCATCCTCCTGCCTCAGCCTTAGTCCTGGCACTCACCATCGTATCTGGCTTGGCAGAGTTCCTTTCTCAATTGGCAACCTGTCTCTTCAGGGAACACCTCTGCCGTTGACGTTGCTGTGTGGGCGCCCGCCTCTGGTGTAGTCTACTTGGTCTACGGCACAGTGCTCCGGTGGGCATCTTTCTAGTCCTTGCAGCCACCTCTGAGCCCCAGGTCAAGCTTGGCCTCAGAAGCCTTGAATCTGGTCCCTTAGCCAGATCCCAATCATCTCTCCCTGTCCCCACTAGACTTCCTACCTGGGCTTGATGTCTTTATCACACGGAGGCTAAGCTCCTGACTGTTGGGTGGGTTTTCTTGTTCTAGATCCCACTGTATCCCTTCTAGGATCTCCTTCCTGCCACTCAGAGCCCCCACAGAGTCCCCATGGCCCCACCTAGGCCAGGCCTGCAGTGGATTACAACCCAGATGAAGGACCCCTGACCCAACCATCTCCCTTACCTGCCTGTCAGGGTTACCCCCACGAAGGCTTGTGCCCTGGGAGTAACTGGGCATCTTCCCTTTAGGAGCCCGACAGGCTATGCACAGCAGGTTCAGATCCTCCAGGAGAATTGTCACCCACGCTTGGGATGGGCTAGTCTGCCAGGCTTTGTCCAGAGTCAGCTGGCTATGAGGTGAGGGAAGCTGGGCAGCCCTGGTTGACAGCTGGAGAGGTCTCAGGCCTCCTTGTGTATGCCTGAAGCTCTGGGGCTTCCCCTCCCTCCAGCCCGCTTTCCTCATCTGCACCATCCTGGCTAGGGCACAGCCCTCATGCACTCCCGGCCTCTGGCTGTTAGTGGCCTTTGGACTGGGGAAGTAGCGCTTCTGGGGCCCCATGCCAGGCTGGCACTCGCAGCAATCAGGGAGAGGCTCAGAACTGTCACTCTGTAGCACCCGCAGGGCAGTCTCCCAGGGCCCTCCACCAGCCAGTCCTGTTCTGCCTTCTCTTGATGAGAGGTGGAGTTCAGAGCTGGACCTGGAAGAGGTCTGGGTAGAGTATAGGACAGACCTGGCTGCAGGCACCATGTGGCCACTTGCCCTCAGCCCATGTGTGTGGTGCTATGGAGTTTGGCCTCCGGGTAGAGGCCCTGGCTACTCCTGTATCCCTGGAGTGGAACACAGTGAGGTGTGCTCACCACCAGACCCCCCAGGGGCCCAAAGACTCATTTAGGAGGGTGAGCCAGCCACATCTAATACAGAACTATTTCAGGTTTCTGAACCGCTAGTCTAGTCTGGGGCTGGCCAAAAATAGCCAGTTAATGGAAGCCGGTGTCTGCAGGAATGGTTAGAGTCCTGAGGCTCTTGTTGTCCTATACAGTCCCAAGTGGGGTGTCGGAGGTTAACCTCAGTTCCTGCTCCCCACTTCTTCCCCTTCTCCACTCTAAGGCATGGCTTGTTCTGACCCCTAGGTGTCCCGAGGCTACTGATACTTCTGGAACTCTGGCCCTCACAGCTCCTAGACAGCAATCACACAGCTACCACAAGCAACATGCTTCTTAGGTGAGTGGCTTCATGGGAGACTTCATGGTGCCTAGGAGAGAAGGAGTTCCCAGGGCTTTGAACCTACGGTGCAGGGGAGAAGCCATCTCTGCAGCTGGCGCGAGCCTGTGAAGGAGGTCAGGCTGAGACAGTTGGGTTGTCTTCTTCAGAACCATTCACCGTGCCCTTCTCCCAGGAAGCACTCTGGTTTAGGGCCTTTTACTCTATCACACAATTCCCAGAGAGACATCTTTTGACCTGTTTCTTGCATCCTTCTCCTGGCCTTTTGACAGGCGTAGATTCTGAGGCCTTGAGTTCAGCCTCTCAGTATCAATCTCAGCTGGGTTTGCATGTCCCCAATGGGGCATGGAGTGGACATACTAGCCTTTCATGGCCTTGGTCCTCTACTAAAGGACTGCTAAACCCTGTAAACCCTGCTGTGCCCTTCGCTGTCTCCTCCCCCTCTAAGCCTGGAGTTTGTGGTCCACCTTGAGTATGGCATCCATGCTAAGACGGGTGAGACAAACAGGGACACCCAAGGCACCACCCTTGGAAGAGCAGGAACAGCTTACTTGGCATCGTTCAAATTGCCTTGCATGCAGTAAGATCTTGCTGTGTGCCAAGTCCTCATCATGGTCTCATCAGAGACCATGGGGACAATCTACTTAATAGGCTGCTTATCTAGGGGTACATTACCCCAGCCCAGCCAATACAACCTCTTCTTAACTCATTATATAGCTGAGGATGACCTTGAATTCCACATCTTGAGTGCTGGGGTTACAGGGGTGCATCACCATGGTTTATGGACTGAACCCAACCAAACAGTCTACCAACTGATCTATAATCCCCAGTCTCCCAGACATTGAACCGTTTTTTATTCACTTATTTTTATCCCTTGTGTGTGTAATGTGTGTGCATGTTGATGTGTGTTGAGTGCAGGTATGCATGTGCCATGCTGTGGTGTGTGTGTGTGTGTGTGTGTGTGTGTGTGTGTGTGTGTGTGTGTGTTTCAGAGGACAATTGTGGGTGACAGTCCTCCTGGGCTATCTGGTCTACCCACTTCCAGGGACTCTCCTGTCTCTGTGTGTCTGACTCTGTTGTTACAATTCCTTCCCTTGGGAAGATGTCAACAAGGTCTACCCCTCCCCGTAAGGTTCCAATGACAGCCAGCCAGAGTTCACTCCGTGGAACCGGTGAGTTTTGGGGCTTCCTTATTGAGAGCAGAGGTGAGAGGTCACTTACAGGGGTGCGGATACTCTTCCTGCAACAGGTATCACCTGAAAAGCTTTTGTCCAGCAGGGACGAGTCCCCCTCCCCTGTGATTCCAAGAACTGTGTACTCTAGCCCTCTCCTTGGCCACTTGTGCTTAGGGCAGATTTGCATACAACAGGTGGCTGGGAGCTGCTGGATACTCAAGTGAGCATCTCCTGACCCTCCCCACCCCTCCATGAGCAAATGTCAACAGTCAACAAGCCCCGCTGGAGTGCTCTTTTGCAAGGTGGCACAGGTGAACTCCCCAAGACGGCAGTTGCTAGGCTCCGAGGATTGTTACATGTGACAGCCTCCCACCTCACTGGAGGAGTGCCACAATTACACATTTGGGCTTACCACCTCCGGCTTTATTCAGGTTCTGGGGACCTGAACTCAGGTCCTTGCACTTATGTAGTAAATGCTCTCTCTACCCACTAAGCTACAGCCTCAAATCCCTAAACCACTTTTTGAATTGATTGATTGATTTATAATTAACGTATGTGTATGTGTCTGTGGGCACCACCTTCATGTAGGATTCCCTGAGGCCAGAAGAGGGCGTCAGATTCCCTGGAACTAGAATTAGAGAGGGTTGTGGGTGCTGGGAACTGAACCTGGGTCCTCTACAGGAGCAGCAAGTGCTCTTACACACTGAGCCAACTCTCTGTCGCACCTGTGAGCTCCCTTTCTCAACTTCTTAATGTTTTCCAATGTTCTTGAGCAGTATCAGGAAGAGAACACTCCTCCACGTTTCTATGCTTGAATTCCCTCAAAAACTTACGGCGTCACTTAATCCTGCCCTAAAATGTCATTCTAACACTGAGTTAATGCCGCCCCACCTGGGTAGCTGCGTCAGTGACCCTGTGCAGGTCTCTAACTCTCCCGGCCTCCTTTGCATTACTTGCACAATGTAAACAATGATCACTCTTATCTTAAAAGTCATTGTGAGGATCAAAGGAGATAACCCAGGGCTGGGAATATTGCAGGTGCCCCACCCCCTGCACACACAGTGCAGGGCATGGAGTTCAGGGCCTTACCCATGCTATACACACCCCCTATCCTCAGCCCACAGAGAACGCTTAATGAACAACAGGTTGGGCCTGTGAGATGGCACAGTCAGAAAAGGTGCTTGCAGCCAAGCCTGAAGACCTGTGTTTGATTCCTGGGATCCACGTGGTGAAGGAGAAAACTGACTCCTGCAAGTTGTCCTCTGATCTCCACATGTGTGCATAAAATAAATAAATGAGCTAATAAGACAATAAAAACAATAGGTGCTATGATTATTGTTGTTACTGAGAAGAAGTACCTTAAGCTAGCTTGCCCTGGCTGTTCCCTCCATGCTCCACACACCCCCACCTCCTGACAAAAATCTTTCCCGAGCCTCCTCAGTCTGCACTGTGGTGCATGACAGCTTCTGTCCCCAAGCAAGCTGGTGATAAGGATGTATACTGAAGCATCATTTGTCGCTGCTAAACCTAGGAGTCTCCTGGAACCCGGTGCCCTCTCACTTTGGTCTTGACAAAATGTCAAGAATCAGAATCCTGTGCTAGAAACGAAAGCTAAGGAGCAGAAGGACGAGGGAGTCGTTAAAGGCCACATAGCTGGGGACGAAGCCCGCTTCAACCCGCTCTTCTCACGTGCCTGACACAGTGGCTCTCATTTCGTTAGACTCTCTCGCTCTGGAGCTTTCCTCTCCGGAGAAAGCAGAAAACAAAGTTTGGAGCCAGCCACTGGGCCCGAAGCCTGGACTCTGGGGCCGACCCACACGCCACAGAAACCTTACCGGAGCTGATGATTCAACTTCCTGCCTATTGAGAGAGCCCTGACCACAGAGGTTTCCTTGCTGGGAAGAGCCGGGCAGCTCCCTGCAGAAGACCAGCTGCGATGGGACAGGGCCCCACCATACACTTCAAGGACCACGGACCCGGCAGGGCGGGAGATGGGGGGCAGACCCCAGAGGGTCATACTAGAGCCTTGGCTGTCTTATCTCCCGAAGCCTGGTCCCTCTGGGTTAACAGTTGCCAAATAGGGTGACCAGCTGTTCTGCTTTGCCCGGGACTGCCCTGGCTTTAACACCTAAAATCCCAGATCCGAGGAAATCATCAGCCCGAGGCCAACCGCAGCTGCTGGCCACTGTATTACCACCCATGACTTATGGCTGTGGTGACTGGCACTCTGAGCCTCCGGGCAGAACACTGTAGAATAGAGAGCTGATACACTATGTCCCAAAGGCCACATTGGACCCACTGCCGGCGTATGTATGTATGTACATATTTTTATAGTCTATAAGCTAAGAACAGTTTTTACTTTTCTGTTTTGTTTTTAAGACCAGATCTCACACAACCCAAGCTGATTTGGAACTCATTATATAGCCCAGATGACCTTGGTCTTCCTACCCATGCTGGTCAGTTTTTGTCAACTTGACACAAACCAGAGTCACCTTGGGAAGAAGGAACCTCAGCTGAAGAATTGCCTCCATCAGATTGGCCTGTGGGCATGTCGCTGGATTGTAGGAGAAAGCAGGTTGAGTACGCCATGGAGAGCAAGCCAGTAAGTAGTGTTTCTCCACGGGGTCTGCTTTAGTCTCTGCCTTGGCTTCCCTGTTTGATGGACTGAAATACACCCTTAAGATGAAACAGACCCTTTCCTCCTGGAGCTGCTTTTGGTCAGTGTTTTTATCACAACAATAGAGAAATAAGCTGGGACACTACCTCTGCCTCCCACGTGCTGGGGTTGCAGGTGTGTAGGCCGGGTTTGTGCGGTGCTGGGAGTCAACCCAGCACTGTGAGTGTGCTGGGCAAGAACTCTGCCATCGGGGCTACCGGCTCCAGAGTTTACATTTTTTAAATAACTGGAAACAAACTTGAAAATAATATCTAGCATGTAAAAGTTACATGAGGGGCTGGAAAGATCGCTCAGCATTGAAGAGTTCTTACTGCTAGAGCCCGAGAGAGGGCTCAGTTGTTAAGAGCACTGGCTGCTCTTCCAAAGGTACCTGGTTTGGTTCCCAGCACCCACATGGTGGCTCTTAACCACCTGTAACTCCAGTCCCGGCGGATCTGATGGTCTATTCTGCTGTCCAGTGGTAACATGCACACACGAAGTACACAGACTATGCATGTAGGCAAAACAGCCATACACACACAAAAAAATAAAAATAAAAATAAGGCCGGGCAGTGGCAGTGTACATCTTTAATCCTGCCTTCCTTGGGAGGCAGAGGCAGTCAGATCTCTGTGAGTTTGAGGCCAGCCTGGTCTACACAGCTAGTTCCAGGACTGTCAGGGATACACAGAGAAACCCTGTCTCAAAAACCAAACAAACAAAACAACAAAAATAAAAATAAGAATGCTGCCGGGCGGTGGTGGCACACGCCTTTTTTTTTTTTTTTTTTTTTTTTTTTTTTTACGGTGGCGCACACCTTTAATCCCAGCACTCGGGAGGCAGAGACAGGCGGATCTCTGTGAGTTCGAGGCCAGCCTGGGCTACCAAGTGAGTCCCAGCAAAGGCACAAAGCTACACAGAGAAACCCTGTCTCGAAAAACCAAAAAAAAAAAAAAAAGAATGCTTACTGTTGCTGGGTGTGGTGGCACTCACTTTTAATTCCAGCAAGGGGAGGCAGAAGCAGGCAGATCTTTGTGGTGAGTCTGAGGCTAACCCAGTCTACCAAGCAAGTTCCAAGTCAGCTAGGACTACCTAGTAAGAATCTGTCTCAAAACAAAATCAGAAAGAGTGCTGTCTGCTCTTGTAGAAGACCCAGGTTCGGTTCCCAGCACACACATGGCAGCTCACAACCATCTGTAACTACAGTTCCATGTGATTCAGTGCCATCTTTTGGCCTCCTCAGGCACCAGGCATGTGTGTGGTACACAGACATATATGCAGGCAGAACACTCATACACATAAAAATAAGTATTTTTTTTTTTCGTTACATGAAATTCAAATTTCAGATTTCAGCGCACGGGAATAAAGGACCTAGCCACGCTAGTCATTTGCATATGGTCTCTGCTGCTTCCCCCCACATGAGTGGAGCTCAGTCCCTGAAAGCCAACCTTAGGGACGCATGACCCAGGGAGACTCCCCAGCTGACCCTTCCTGTGAACCAGGCCTACCTGATTCTAGAACAGGGCAGAAGGGTGTGCATGAGAAGAAGCAATGGTAACAGTAAAGAAACGCCAAGGTCAGGCAGGAGAGCCGTTAGGGTAGAGCATGCTGGCACCAAGCAAAGCCAAGGTCAGCAGATGAGCCATAAGGCAAGGACGAGACAACAGTTCCCTCTGTGACTTAGTTTGCCTGTCTGTACAATGGGGTGAAGGGAGACCAGTAGGAAGCCATCCTTCTCTCTGGTCTCATGGTCTAGACTTCTAGGCCAATACGCCTCTCCTCTTCAATAAGCCATCCACCTACAAAGACTGCTGTGTGCCCAATCAGGACCCAAGCTGAGCTCTCTTCAACCCATTGGGTGCATGCCTATATGGCTTGAAAGCAGAAGCTTCATCCTATTCAGACTTCCCACAGGCATCACAAAGAGCCCATGGCACATTTGACACTCTTACTGCCTCTTGCCATTGGAAGGTTCCAAGGGTACCTCTTTCTGTTGCATCCAGTCATGGGGATGGGAGCTATTCACCCTGAAAGCAGGTGCAGATGGGCCGTCGTCCAGCACCTCCTCCCCATCACTGGAAACCTGTCAGGTGCCTAGGCCGCCTGCCCTGAGTGCCTGCAAGCTGAGCTGAGCCAGCAGGAAGTAGACAAGCGCTGAGAGTTCAAACAGCCAAGAGAGCAGCTGGGCTCAGGGCCAAGACAACCCCTCCACCCATCCTGCCTTCACTCGACCACAGGTGCGCTCTCTCTTTATTCTCCACACCCTTCCCCCCCCCCTCCTTTTTCTCCTTTTTTCTTTAGACAGTCTTACTATGCAGCCCAAGCTGCCCGGGAATTCACTAAATAGTCTGGTATAACTTTGAACACATGCTCCTTCGGCCTCCGAAATGCTTTTCCAGAGAGCTAAGGAATAGGTCTATCTCGAAAGTCCTGTGGGGAGCCAACCTCTGCTGAGCCTCCACAGTGACCCACATAGTTTGCTCAGACAAGGCCAGGGCAAGCCCTCTTCTGGCTGCCTAGGGAGCCTCTGATACCTTCAGTATCCTCCTAGGGATGTCGCCCCAGTAGGTCACCTCTCTCTTTTCCTATATCCCCAGAACTCGGCTTGCTGACCTCAGATTTGAATGCTTTGGAGAACCAGGGATCAGCAGAGGCTGAAACACGATGAGATGCACCCCACTGTTTCTGGGCTGTCCCTGGCATTCCTGCGTGGAGTGGCTTGGGCCACACGGACTCTGTGTGTGTGTGGTGTGTGTGTGTGTGTGTGTGTGTGTGTGTGTGTGTGTGTGTGTGTGTTATTTATTTTGTGTATATGTGTATTTTGCCTGCACACATGGCTGTGTACTACCTGTATGTCTGTGTGCCAGAGGAGGGCAGAAGAAGGCATTGAATCCCCTGGGGTTAGATTTATAGGTGGTTGTGAACTGCCATGTAGGTGCTGGAAATCAAACCCAGGTTATCTGGAAGAACAACCAGTGCTCCTAACAGATAAATAAATATAGTGTGTATATGTTTTAAGACAGGGTCTCATGTGGGTACTACGTGTGTGTACTCTCACCCCAGCTTAAATAAACTTAAAAAAGCCAAGCAGTGGTGGCACATGCCTTTAATTTCAGCACTTGGGAGGCAGAAGCAGTTGGATCTCTCTGAGTTCAAGGCCAGCCTGGTCTACAGAACTAGTCTCGAAAGCCAATAGATAAACAAACAAAATAAGAAACATTATTTGCTCAACTGGCCATAGTGGCACACACCTTTAGTCTCAACACTGGGGAGGCAGAGACAGGCAGATCTTTGTGAGTTTGAGGCCAGCCTGGTCTACATAGTGTGTTCCAGGACAGTCAGAGCTACATAGTGAAACCCTATCTCATAAAAACAAACAAAAAGAATTATTTTTTATGTGTATGATATTTTGTTCTCGTGCACCATATATGTGCCTGGTGCCCTCAGAGGTCAGAAAAGGGTGTTGGAGTCCCTGGAACTGGAGTAATGGATGGTTGTGAGCACTATGTAGGTGTTGGGAATTGAACTCAGGTTCTCTGCAAGCACAAATGCTCTTAACCTCTGTGCCGTCTCTCCAGGCCTCTTGAATAAACTTTTTATTGAAGTACAAATTCATACAGAAGTGTACAAATGCTCCAGAACTGCCATCTCCCCTGTGCTCTGTCCCCGTCACATCCCAAGGGCAACCGCTGTTTCGGCCTCTCCCACCACAGATGGGTTTCATCTATTTTTGAACTTTGTCAATGGAATCTTATAGTGTGGGCTATTTTTATGTCTGGCTTCTACTCACTCGTGCTGTGGAGGATAGAATCCTTTGCCCAGTCTCTTGCTATATTGTGTTTTATGGCTGTATCATTGTTTATTTACTCACTCCACTCCTGACGGGAGTCTGAGTTGCTCCTACCTTAGGCTATTACCGTTGCATGTGTTTTTTGGGTTACAGCTGTGCGCCTCTTTGCCAGACACATGTAGTTAGGAATGAACTGTTGGGGAAGAGGGGCTACCCGTATTTAATGTTGGAAGGTGAGTGCTGAACATTTTTGACTGGTTTTCCACAGGGGGCTCTTTGCTTTTATGACAGGCTGGCACTTCAGGTGATATCATCAGACTTGTTTATATTATCAGAGAGGCAACTTCTCAACTATTTCTCCTTTCCTTCCTCCTTTAAAGACAAGGTTTGTTGGTCCTGAATTTGCTGTATAGCTGACGATGACCTTGAACTCCTGATTCTCCTGCCTCCATCTTCTTATTGTCACTATACCCAGTTTATTCGGTGCTGGGGATCAATCCCAGGACCATGTGCACACCAGGCAACCACAACCACAGACCCTTATTTATTTATTTATTTATTTATTTATTTATTTATTCATTCATTCATTCATTTATTTATTTATTATTGGAACAGAGTCTCACTATGTGGCTCTGGCTGTCCTGGAACTCACTTGGTAGACCAGGCTGGCCTGGAACTCACAGAGATCCACCTGCCTCTGCCTTCTAAGGGACCACCATGACCAGCCCTCCACAGACCCTTTTCAAACTTTCATTTCTGGCAAATACCTGCCAAAGTGACATGTGTCTTTTCTTCTGAAGATGTGAACCGCTGTCTTTTCACCCTAGATAGGGCACCACAAACAAACCAAACAAGCCAGTCCACCCAAGCCCAACTTGGTGAACCAATGGGTGAGGGGTCATAGGAGCATGGGCCGTTCAAAAACAGCCACAAGAACATCCAATCCCAGCGTGAGCAATGACTTCAAAGCTGCATCTGTCTTCAGTGAACTTTCTACTCCTTATATACTCTAGCACCTCCCCAAGACCAGGAGCAGCCAAGGAGCAGAAGAGTTGGTGGGAAGAATCCCCCTCTCCTACTGGGGACCAGAAATAGCAGTTACCTGTATTTTTCTGTTGCCATGACTGCAGGGTCAAAGGTATCTGTGCTCTGTGATGGTAAGGGATAGTCATGTGTGCCTAAGGGAAAATCGGTGTGTGCCAATCCCCAAACAGGACTCCAAGATGATGTTCTATGGGATGAGAGCGGGCTAATAAACTCTAGAGATCAGGCCAACTGGGTGCCAGGAACCTGCAGAAAACACATACTGGCAGGCCCTCATCCCTGGAGGCCACTGAGCCCACTCAGGCGACACGGAGGCCCAACCCAGGTCAGAACATTGAGGTTAGACTTCCCGGGAAGCATAGTTTTCTGACTGTGGATAAGAACATGTAGGGTCAGCCAGGCGGTGGTGGTGGTGGCGGTGGCGGCGGCGGCGGCGCACACCTTTAATCCCAGCACTCGGGAGGCAGAGGCAGGCGGATCTCTGTGAGTTCGAGGCCAGCCTGGGCTACAGAGTGAGTTCCAGGAAAGGCGCAAAGCTACACAGAGAAACCCTGTCTCGAAAAACAAAACAAAACAAAACAAAACAAACAAACAAAAAAAAAACATGTAGGGTCAGGCACCCCAATGTTGTCATATAATGCTGTCAGGAAAAGAGGGGTTTCATTTTCAGGTTTTCTACCTATTCCAAGGCTGTTGCCCTGAGGGACTGATGTATAATAGCTAAGGGCTAGGGGTGGGGTTGGTAGGTGGTTTCTAGAGCCAGGAGGAGAAGGTCTTCATCTGGTCCCTTTCTGAGCTGGCTTTAGTCACCAGTTTTTATAAAGGATCAAAGCCTAGGGCTCTGGCACTCCCAACAAGCTGGGCTCGGTCCCTTGTTCCCTGTATGCCACTTAAAGAGATAAGTAGTGATGGAAGGCAGAGAAAAGGGATTTGTTCAATGTGGTTACAGTGGAAAGAGTAGATTAAGGGGTCCAGGGACTCCAAGTCCATCCTTTTGGGCTTACATAGAGAGCAAGAGGTATTTATAACTAAGCAGTCCTGGTCAAGTGTGGCCCTGCCCATCATTGCCCATCACCGTCACAGCTCAAGTGTGCCTTGCAAGGTGGTCCACTAAGTGTGGTGGTTAATTCACCAGCTGCAGAGAGAGCAGCCTTATGCTTCATGGATCATTGTCCTCATCTAGGGGTGGGGTGGGGGCTCTGAGTGTCCTCGGAGTTGTGTGCTTATCTTTGTGGAATTCAGGATGACTCAAAGGAAGGTTCAGGATTACTTCTCACATGGCTTTAACCAAGACAGAATGCAGCAGAGGTGCTGGGCTTTCATGTTTGCCTTGGGGCCTTAAGCCAGGGCTTGGCCTGTAAGCAGGTACTTCTTCTGTGTGCCCGTTTCTCTTCCAACTCAGGGAACCCCAATTTCTTTGCCATTGTCAACACTACAAGCAGGTTTTCACAACACTGGGGCCTGTCCTTCTGTCTGTCTGCCTATAGGAGAGTGGACCTCAGGAATCTTTTTGTTCAGTTGGTTTTTTTTTTTTAAGATTTATTTATTTATTATGTATATAGTATTCTGTTTGCATGTATCCCTGCAGGCCAGAAGAGGGCGCCAGATCTCATTACAAATGGTTGTGAGCCACCATATGGGTGCTGGGAATTGAACTCAGGACCTCTGGAAGAACAGCCAGTGTTCTTAACCTCTGAGCCATCTCTCCAGCCCCCTTGTTTTTGTTTTTGAGACAGAGTCTTACTATGTAGCTCTGGCTGTCCTGGAACTCACTCTGTAGACCAGGTTGACCCCAAACTCACAGAGATCAGCCTGCCTCTGCCTCCCGAGTGCCAGGACTAAAGGAGAGCACCACTACGCCCAGCAAGGGTCTCAGGAATTTTGCTTGGGAAAGGATTCTCTCAGGGTCTCAGCAGAGTTGTCCCTTGGTGTGAGGGGCTGGATTTGAAGCCTGGCACCATGGTTAGCTCATTGTTCTGGGGACCGTGACAAAGGCCAGACAGTTGCCTCGGCCTCTTGGGGTTCTGGATCATTGGTGAGAGGGGCTGGTCTCTCTAGAAACTAACTGAGTTTCTTTTCAGTTAATCAATGTACTAATTTTATGTGTATGAGTGTTTTGTCTGTATGTATGTCAATTATTCATGCCAATGCATCGCGTGTATGCTTAGTGCCTGTGGAGGCCAGAAAAGGACAACAGGTCCCCTGGGACTAGAGTTACAGACAGCTGTGAGTCTCCATGTGAGTGTTTGGAACTGAACCCCTGGTCCTCGGGAAGAAGAGCCGTTGCTCTTGATCAATGAGTCATCTCTCCAGCCCCAAGGAGACTGTCTTTTTACCTTTTTCTTTGTTTACTTTTGTTTGTTTGCTGGTCTCTTTGCAGACTGATGTGCTGAACCTCTGGCTTCTACTTCCTGGACTGAAGTGAGCCTTCTATCCTAGCCTGTGGAGCTGCTGGGATTATTACTGCCTGCTGCCTGTATCCACTGCATGCAGCCAGACCTAGGAGAGATGCGGGCCAAGAATAGCCAGGGACCTCAGTTTGAGTATTACCATGATGCCAGGAGTGTGTGTGTGTGTGTGTGTGTGTGTGTGTGTGTGTGTGTGTGTGTTCAATCTCCCGGGAACTGAATCCAGGGACTTATACATGCTAAGCAATTCCTCCACCACTGAGTTACACTCTCAGCCCACCCCCTTTAAAATTTATTCATTACATTTATTCATTTTGAGTGTGGGGGGGTGCATGTGTGGTGTGTATAAAGGTCAGAGGACAACTTGTGGGATTGGTTCCCTCTTTCCACACTGTGGGTCCTGGAGATCGAACTTCGTCATCTCAAGTCATCAGTCTAGGCAGGAGACACCTTTACCACTGAGAGATCTCTTTTCGGCCTAGCCCTGGGCTTTTTTCCCTCCTCTCCTCTTCCTCCTCCTCCCCTTCCTTTGCCTTCTCCTCTCGCCCTTCTCAGACAGAATCTCAGGATCTCACTGTATAGCTTAGGTTGTCCCCAATCATCCTGCCTCAGCCACTTAAGAGCTAAGATTATAGGTGTGATCCGATTCCAGATGCCAGGAAGGATTTTCTAATAGACATTAAAATAGACCTAGGTTAGTTTTCTCAACTCTATAGGGATAGCATGGCTGAAAATCCTATTACACACACACACACACACACACACACACACACACGTACGCACGCACGCACGCACGCGCACACATACGCACGCACGCACACACACACGCACGCGCGCACACACACGCGCGCACACACACGCGCACACACACACACGCACGCACGCACGCACACACACATGCACACACACACACACACACATGCACACACACACACACACGCACCCACGGGCAGTGTAAAGGCACATGCCATCAAAGCTGACAACCTGAGTTTGATCCTGAAACCCCTGCTGTCTTCTGACCTCTGTACACACATGTTTACACACACGACAGATGAGTAGGTATAATTTTTCATTAGTTTATTTGTTTTGTGCGTGTGGTGCATATGAGCTCATGTGTCCACGTTTACATATGTGCACATGGAGGCCAGTGGTGGACATCAATTATCTTCCTCACTTTCCACCTCGTTTTATTTAATTCATTTTCATTTTCCACTAGTGTGTGTAGGAGAGTGTGCTGTGGAGTGCATGTGGAGGTCGGGGGACAGCTCTGTAGAGCTGGTCCACTCTATCACCTTCACAAGGGTTCTGGGAATCCAACCCCAGCCATCAAGCTTGACAGTAGGTCCACTCAGCCACCACACCAGCCCTCCACCTTAGTTTTTGAGACAGTAGTTTTTTTTTTTTTGTTTTTGTTTTTTTTTTTTTTTTGGTTTTTCGAGACAGGGTTTCTCTGTGTAGCTTTGCGCCTTTCCTGGGACTCACTTGGTAGCCCAGGCTGGCCTCGAACTCACAGAGATCCACCTGGCTCTGCCTCCCGAGTGCTGGGATTAAAGGCGTGCGCCACCACCGCCCGGCGAGACAGTAGTTTTTTCACTGAACCTGGAGCTCATTGATTCAGCTAGACTGGCTGACCCGTGAGCTCCAGGGTCTACCTGTCCCCACCTCGGTGCTGGAGGCACCAATGGGTCCTGCCTTACCCAGCTTTCATATGGACGTTAGGGATCTGAAATCAGGGCCTCGTGCTGGCGAGCCCTTTACCAACTGAGCCATCTCCCCAACCCTGAGTGGTTATTTGTTGTTGTTGGGTTTGTTTGTTTGTTTGTTTGTTTGTTTGTTTTAGACAGAGTTTGGCCAGATCAAGCCAGCCTTAGCTTTGCAGTGACCCTCCACTGGGTCAAGCTCAGGTGGTCGATGGTCTGGCGTGGCTGGCGCTTTGACTTGCTGAACCGACTCCCCTCCCCCAGATGCTGTGGTGGCGGCACACCTGTCAGCAGCTCCAGGATGACACTCTCACACCTTCAAGCCCGGGTGAATGAAGAGCATGCCTTCCTGGCTCTCTAAGTATCTCACAGTCAGACCACAGGGTTTGGTCCAAACCAGCCACTATGCAGCTCTGCATGGTCCATAAGACATCCTGGAGTCCTGATTGAACATAATGCACTCTGCTCCATCCAGAAGGCTATGCACAAGGCAGATTTGGATGATCTGATCTTTTGGACGATGAATGAGATGCTACACAGCTCTGTATGTGGGTAAGGCTCTCTGCATCTCGGCACTGTACACAGGGCCCTCTGCCGCTCAGCACGACAGGTAAGATGCTCTATAGCTCTCCTGGGTGAGGCATGGCTCATGTGTGACTCTCATGCCAGGGAGTTAACCCCATCTGAAGCACTCAGGCTGGAAGTGATGAGAGTAATAGTTGCCCAGGTAAGGAATTGGGATGCTGGGGACCGACTGGAGAGACAGCTCAGCACTAAGAGCATGAACTGCTCTTGCAGAGGACCTGAGTTCCGTTCCCAGCACATGAATGAATCTAGCGGCTCACAACCACCTGTAACTCCAGATCTAGGGGTATCTGATGCTTTTGGCCTTGATGGGTACCTGCCTGTGTGTGTGTGTGTGTGTGTGCGCTCTCTCTCTCTCTCTTTCTCTCTCTCTCTCTCTCTCTCTCTCACACACACACACACACACACACACACACACAATTAAAAAGTAATACAAACAAATCTTTTTTAGAAAATTGGTTTGCTATTACCAGAAGAGGGGGAATGGAGACTATTGATGTTTGGTTTGATTCTTAAGTTTTCTTTTTGGCTGTTCAGAACTGAAGCCTTCTTCCTGTGATGGGAAGTTGCCCCGGGCCCAAGACACAGGCTCTCCCGGTCAAACCCATGGGCCGGCGGTCCAGAAAAGCCAGGACTACAGAAAGGTCTCCATGGAAGGCGTCTTGGGTGGCCGTGACCCGCCCAGGACAATGGAGACGTTTGCAGCCCCGGGTGAGGGCAGAGCCTACGGTGTGTCTGGTGGATGGTGGCCGCAGAGACAACAGTGACATCAAGTGTCTGACAGAGCCTGATCTGCAGGGCCATCTGGGCCAATGTCAGCTTTGCCCAGAGAATCTCCGAGTGACGTGAGTGTTTTTACTATATTCATGCTTGACCCAACGTCAGTCCACTTAATTAATAGTCATTTTTCAGGACTCAGAGGTCAGAGGCACAGAGCACTTGCCTAGCGTTCTCCAGGCCCTGGGTCAGGTTCCCTGAACCTAGGAGCACTGACTATTACAATCCCCAGGAAGGATGGCTGAGTAGTCCCCCTTTGTCGGCTGCCTCTGAGCCCACGCAATACGACATTTTCTGAGTTGAGACGAGGAAAAGAACGTTCTCGAAAGCAGAGCCACTTCAGGCTGGAAGCCTCTGTCCCTGGAGGTGTTCAAGCAGATCTGGGAGCAGAAGAGGCCTTCAGGGTGGCTCCACTTCTCCCTTGTGGATTACACGTGGCATCATCTGTTCAACCCCAGGCACTGGGGTGACATCAACAAGCAGTTTAGGATGGAAACCAAATGCAGGGTGTGGTGATGCACACCTGTAATCCCAGCACTGAGGAGGCTTTAGTAGGCAGATCAGAGGTCCAAGTCAACCTCAGCTACATGGTAAGTCTGAGGCCAGCCTGGGCTACAGGAGCTTTGCATCTAAAACAAACAAACAGGCCAGCTCAGTGGGCAAAGGCGTCTGATTTGAAGCATGATGACCAGCGTTCAATCCATGGCACCCACATGGTAGAGAGAGAACCTACTTCTTCAAGTTGTCCTTTGATCTCTACACATGTGCTGTGGCCCACACATGTGCATACTTGTGCACACAAGAAGTAAACAAATAAGCGTAACAAAACTTAAATAAACATATATACAAATACAGCAACTACAGAAACCCAGGAGGCAAAAAGCGCAGCTCTGGTGCCGCAGCTCGGAATCCTTTTCATTTCTCTTACAGCCCGACCCCAGGCCTGGCCCTGCCCTGTGACACAGCTGTGCCTCATCCTAAGTCCCAGGCAAAGACACGGCGTTTACCGGCCTCCGTCACTTTAATGAAACAGACCCTACACCAAACAAACACAGGCACAGACATTTGCAACTAATTATGGCATTGCTGATCAGTCAGATTTCATTGCAAATTGCATGTTGAAATTGATAGTGTAGAGTCATGAATAAACTGGTTGTCTGGATAAGTGACACGGGCCCACAGGACTAGATAAATAATTCAATTTAGCCTCAGCCAGACACTCTGAAGAGGAGGAAACAGCAGATTAGCATGACCCGGAGAATGCTTCTTCACCCGGGGAGCGGCTGCCAATGTGCCTGGCTTCCAAGGGCAGCAGAGCCTGCTGCAGGATCCTCCCTCCCACTCTGGGAGACCGCGGCATGGAGTGTTCCAGACGTTAATTCTTGGTTTGTAAATTGTAGCTGTGAGTAGTGTTGGAAGGGGAAGTCAGCCTGGTGTTGCCATTTGCTGCTGAGAAAGCCCCCTCAGGAGTGATCTTAAGGACAGACACCTCCCATTCCCAATTCCTGGGCCAGGGGGTCCCAATCCACCTTGAAAGCCAGGCTATGGATCTGGGGATGTGGTTCACTTAGAATGTTTGTCTAGTGTGCACACAGCTCTGGGTTCGAACCCTAACACTTCATAAAATGGGGGTGTACATACCTGTAGTCTCAGTACTTGGGAGGTAGAGGCAAGAAGATCAGGAGTTCAAGGTTATCCTTGGCTATATATGAAATCTGGGGTTAGCCTGGGATACATGAGTCCTTGTCTTAAAAAAAAATGCTGGGGGTGGTGGCATATGCCTTCAATTCTAGCGCTCCAGTGATAGAGACAGGTGGATCAGCCTGGTCTATGTAGAGAGTTCCAAGGAAGCCAGAGCTACATAGTGAGGCCCTGTCTCAAATGAATACATTAAATAAATGTATTAAAAAATAAAAAATGAAACAAGCCAACCAGACAAACAAATGAAAGCCATGTAGGTCAGGAGCCAGGATGCCTTTTATAGAGGTCACCACCAGGACTTTCATGAGTCTTAAAAACAATCAGACCCAGAGGAGAGTTCCTATTAGCATGCCATGGAAGCCACACAATGGAATGGCAATGTCTTCAGGACTTGAGCCTTCAGCCACTGTAGCCCCCTGGTCCTGGAGTGCCACGCATGCGCATGCGTGCTGAGCCTGCCGGGGCTGCTCAGGGAGGAGAGGGCCCACTGGCAGCCATGTTGGGGATGCCACTGATGCGCTCTGGATGCATGCACTCCGGATGCGGGACGGAGAGCTTGAGAGTCAAAACCGGAATGTCTGCAGGAAAGTGGGCCAGCTATGGACTGGGAGAATTGGCAGGCTGAGCCTGATTGTTAGGGGTGGCTGTGAGTCAGCCTTAGGAGACAATAGCAATGGAATTCGAAAAAGGTTCGGCTGCGGTATATATTTGGAAGTTACCAGCAGCTAAATGACGTTTAAAGCCAGGACTCTGGAGGAGGTTATCAGGGTGGAGACAGTAGGTGGAGGCAAGGCGTCCATGGGCCTTGGAGATGAGCAGATGTGGGCAAAAGGGATGGAGAAGGCGGGTCACTGCTCGATGCCAGTGTGGGGAGATGCGCCCTCCTTTTCTCTCTTATTGAGACAGAGTCTCACTCTGCGGTACAGGCAGGCATGGAACTCACTGTTAGGTCAGAATGCCCTTGAACTCAAGATCCTCTTGGGTGCCTGGATGGAAGATGTACTTTTCTCTTTTTAGAAAGCATTTATTTACTTATTTGTGTACTGTGGGTAGGTTGGGGTATGCATGTGAAGGTCAAAGAAGAACTTGTGGGGTTGGTTCTCTCCATCCACTACGTGGGTTCCAGGGATTGAACTCAGATCATCAGGCTTGGCTGAAAGCACCGTTACCCAGTGTGCCACCTTGTTGGCACAAGATGAGCTCTTTTCTTCCCCTCAGACAGGGTCTCGGTGTAGCCTTAGCTATCCTGGAACTCTCTCTCTGTAGACCAGGCTGGTCTTGAACTCATAGAGCTCTGCCTGCTGGGATTAAAGGTGTGCACCACCACCTCTGGGCTCCAAGATGAATTCTTGTGTGCTGAAGAGACAGAAGGAAGGGGAGGTCCAATGACTGACCACTGAACTTAACGGTATGGAGAGAGAACACTTTGATGACACCTTTGGGCTAGCGAGGGGTTGCGGGGGTCTGATGGGAGTGAGGACCATACAGGTAGAGAGAAGGGGAGGGCTTGAAGGAGGTCCAAAGGGTCCACTCCTTTCAGGAGTCACGTCATGGGTGAGGGGGCGGGGTGCAAGAAAGAAGGAAGCTATTTGAGAGCACAAGGTCAGGAGGGATTTTTTTTTCCTTTCAGAAAGAAAACTCAGAGGCTTTTTGTGTGTTGGTGGAAATAATCACAGAGACAGGAAGTATGGGTGAGGAGAGGGTGAGCGTTGGCACAGAGCCCTGGAGAGGCAGGTGGGGTTGGCATCTGGTGCCTAGCCGGGTGGAGTGGCACATGCCTGTAATCTCAGAACTCGGGAGGTGGAGGCAGGAGGAGCATCAGGAGATCACGGTTAACCTTGGCTTCACAGCAACCTCAAGGCTAGCCTGGGCTTCGTAAGACTCTGTCTAAAAACAACAAAGAAAAGAGAAAGGAAACAAGAAACGGGGCTGCCCTGCCGTGGGCCAAGGGCGGGCGCCGCCTCAGTGGGAGGAAAGGCAGAGCGGATGGGTACAGATGCAGGTGGGTGGGGAGCAGCGGAGCTGGCACAACTTCTCTGCCAAGGGCTTCTATTTTCTTAGCAAAATCGGAAGAGGTTGTCAGCTGAGAGTGAGGTGGGGGAGGAGGTGTGAAGCAGTCGTCTAGGAGAGCGGGTGTGAATCGACTTCAGGGATGGCGTGTAGTGGCTGGGCACTTGTGGTCCTTGGAAGGGGCCTGGGGGCTGAGCCTGCAGCTCGGCTGTGAGGAGCAGGCATGAGGCCTTGACTCCTCCAGCTCGGAAAAAGAACTATATAATGAACGAGTGGAGGCTGGTCGGTGAGTTAGAGGTTCATCTTCAGTTCTGGTTGCCTGTGGGACCCAAGCGGGGATAAAGGGCTGAATTTACTAGGGCTGTGTGGCTTTGCCAGATGACCGTGCTGTAAGAAGAATAGGTAATGTTAGGACAGAGCCTCCAGGGTCGGGCAGGAGTGAGGTGGAACAAATCAGTGGAATTCGGGATGGAGTGATGGACGGTAGGCTGCAGAGAAGGCAGTGTCTATGGGAGGATGGGATTCATGAAGTTGAGAAGTGGAAGGATCTCACTGACAGATAACCGCTCCTTGGAAGCCTGGGTGTAGGAGGGAAGGCTGGGCTGTTGTAGAAGAATGAAGAGGAGACAAAGGGGAGAGAGAGAGAGAGAGAGAGAGAGAGAGACAGACAGAGACAGAGAGAGACAGACAGAGACAGAGAGAGAGACAGAGAGAGAGACAGAGAGACACAGAGAGAGACAGACAGAGAGAGAGACAGAGAGAGAGAGAACTGTTTATGTACTTCAATACTGGAATCAAAAATTACTCTGGCCGGGTAGTGGTGCCACATACCTTTAATCCCAGCACTCAGGAGGCAGAGGCAGGCGGATCTCTGTGAATTACAAACAAGTTTGATCTATATAGTGAGTTCTAGGCCAGCCAGGACTAACATTAAGACCCTGTTTCAAAAACTACAGTAAAAATCTACCCCAGTGCAGTCTCACACACCTGTAATCCCAGCCCTGGGAGGTGGGGAGGGGGAGCAGGAAGATCAAGACTTTAAGGCTAGACTCAGGTACAGAGTAAATTTCAGGGTAGCCTGGGCTACAAGAGACCCATTGTATTCAACCACCGGTGGCATTCAACCATTGATCTTTCTCACTTTGCTGGGGACCAAACTCAGGGCTTTTTGCATATGAGTCAACCTCTTTATCATTTACGAATGAGCCATTTTATAGCCCCTGCCCCGGACATTACTATTTTTTAATTAATTGTGTATGTGTATGTGTGCAGGTGCTCACATGCCACTGCGTAGGTATGGAGGTCAGAGGACAGCTTTCTGAAGATAGTTCTCTTGTGAGGATGGATATGACCAGGACAAGATGAGAGGGACAGAGGTACAGGATGGGCGCCTGGCAGAGAGGAGAGAGAGTTCTTCACGACTCTTGATGGTGGTGTGGGGTCTGAGAAAGATCTTCCTAAAATGTGGCAGTCTGGCAGTGGTGGCACACGCCTTTAATCCCAGCACTTGGGAAGCAGAGGCAGACAGATCTCTGTGAGTTTGAGGCCAGTCTGGTCTGTAGTGCAAATTCTTAATAATATTAAAAACCTAGAGTCAGATATCAGGGTAAAAGCTGAAAAATCAGAGACATAAAGGAGCACCACAGTCACCTCTTACCTCCACAACTCCTCAGACAGAAAAAGGCAGGGCTCCTGTCTCTGCCAGCCTTATATTCCTCTCTGTGCCATACCACTTACTCTCTCCACTGGTTTATATAGTGAGTTCCAGGACAGTCAGGGGTATACAGAAAAACTCTATCTTTGAAAACAAACAAACAAACAAATAAACAATCGGACAACAACAGAGAGAGAGCGAGAGCGAGAGCGAGAGCGAGAGCGAGAGAGAGAGAGAGAGAGAGAGAGAGAGAGAGAGAGAGAGAGAGAGAGAGAGAGTATAATTTGGGCTGAGGGGATAAAATTGGTTAACTGATTGGGGCAAAAAAAAAAATTAGGTTTTCAACCTTGTGCAGGTGGATTAAAAAGCTAGTGTTCAGTTGGGGATGCAGCTCAGTTGGCAGAACCCTTGACCTGCATGCACAAAGTCCTGGTTGGTTCTCATCACCATCTAAAACCAGGTGTGGTGCACACCTGTAATCCCAGCACTCAGGAGGTAGAACCAGGAGAATCAGGAGTTCAAGGTCATCCTTAACCACATAGTAAGTTTGAGGTCAGCCTGGGTTATTTGAGGCTGTCTCAAAATCAAAATCAGGGGCTGGAGAGATGGCCTGGCGTTAAGAGTGCTTGCTCTTACAGAGGAACAGTGTTCACTTCCTAGTGTCCACATCCAGTGGCTCACAACAGGTTTCAACTTCCAGCTCCAGGGGATCTGGTGCCTTCTTCTGGCTTCTGTGAGCATCAGGCATGCACGTGGTGTACATACGCACATGCAGGCGAAACCCTCGTACATATAAATAAAAACCTGGCACTATTGTGAAGAGCCACGCATAAGCAGCCCATTGACTTTCAGCAGAAGCTGCTAAACCATGGATTAGCCTTGCCAACAAATGATGCTGGGGAAGTTTCTCAGCTCTGGGAGAGGAATGGACCCACGTCTTCTACCACATGAGCTTCCCATTTATGAACTGAAACTATCAATCTTCTTAAACAAAATTCTAAGGACACAAACTATAAAAATTGATAGATTAGCTGGGCAGTGGTGGCACACGCCTTTAATCCCAGCACTTGGGAGGCAGAAGCAGGCGGATCTCTGTGAGTTCAAGGCCAGCCTGGTCTGCAGAGTGAGTTTCAGGACAGCCAGGATTGTTACACAGAGAAACTCTGTCTTGAAAAAAAAATTGGTAGATTAAATTGCATCAAAATTAAAACTGAAGCTGGGGATGATGGCTCAGGCCATTAATCCCAGTACTTGGAAGGCAGAGACAGGCTGATCTCTGTGAGTTTGAGTCCTGCCTGGTCTACAGAGTTAGTACCAGGATTGTTACACAGAGAAACCCTGTCTTAAAAAAACAAACAAAAAAAATTAACTGGGCTCATACAATGACTCAGAGGGTCAAGACACTTTGCATCAAACCTGGTGACCTGGGTTTGATCCCCAGGTCACACATAGTGGAAGGAGAAAACCAAATCCTCCAAGTTGTCCTCTGACCTCCACATTCAGGGTGTGGTACATGCGTCCACGTCACCCATCTACCCCCTGCCCTGAAAGTAAATAAATGTAAACATTTTAAGAATTATCCAGGGGCTCAGATGTCCTTTTCTAACCTCCCTGGGTACCAGACATGCATATGGTGCACTCAGGCACAAACATATACATAAAAAAATGGATAAAAAGGGCTGGGCATGGTGACACATGCCTTTGATCCTTGCACTCAGAAGGCATAGGTAGGCAGATCTCTGTGAATTCAAAGCCACCCTGATCTACATAGTGAGTTCAAGGACAGCCAGGGCTATGTAGAGAGAATCTGTCTCAAAACAAAACAAACAAAAAAACCCAACCAAATAGAACCAATAATGGATAAATAAATATTTTTTTAAAATGTTAAGATTCAAAAACTGTTATAGCGGTCTAGAATTACTGATCTCTCTCTCTCTCTCTCTCTCTCTCTCTCTCTCTCTCTCTCTCTCTCTCTCTCTCTCCCCACTTCTGAGCCATCTCTCCAGCCCCCCAAAACAGTCTTTATAAGACTAAGGAAGTTTCTTTCCAGTTCTGGTTTGGCAAAAGCCTTTTTCCAATTACTCCCGCATTTAATCCAATCAGTGCTGGATTGTATGTAGCTGGTGCTTTTTCTGCCTCCATTGAGATAACTGGCCCTGCTCTCTCCTTTTGAAGTCTGTCCTGATCCATTACGCAGACTGCTTTTTGAACTTTAACCAAACTTTACATTCCTGGATTTGCATATAACTTGGTGGTCACTCCTCTTCTCCCTTCCATGTCTGGTAATTCTGTCCGTTAAACTTCTTTAGGCATTTCATAGCTGTGTTCATAAACCAGACTGGCCTTTACTTTTCCCTTATTGATCTTCAGATTTGGAGGTCAGGGTCAATGTTGACGCCATAAGGTGAGTTAAGGATAATTTCTGTTCCTTAGGTGGAAATGCCTCAACTTACAGAAGAAATGCAATCGTGGGATATCTTCCCCTTGAATGTTCAACCTAATCCAAAGGCAAAGCTATCTGAATTTGTAGTTTTCTTCCTGGGAAGACTTTTTATTTTAAAATGGGTCTCACACAGCCAAGCTGGCTTAAAACATGCCGTGTAGCCAATGATAACCTTGAACTTCTGATCCTCCAACTTTCAGCTCCAGAGGCTGGGTTTGCATACACTGCCACCATACCTGTTTTATGCTGGGGATCGAACCCAGGGCCCCTTACATGCTAGGTAAGCATTCTACCAACTTAGATCCATCTCCAACACTTCCTCTCTCCTGTCTCTCTTTCTCTCTCTCTCTCTTCCCTCCCCTCCTCCCTCCCTCCCTTCTTTCTTTCTCAGACAAACTCTCATGTAGTCCAGGCTGGTCTCAGACTTGCTATGTAGCTAAGACTGACCTTGAATATTAAAAAAAAAGTAATTGTTTAGTGTATGTGCACACGTGTATACCACAGTGCACATGCCAGAGCATGCATGTGGAGGGCAGACGACAATCTGTGGGAGAGTCTATTCCCTCTTTCTACCATGTGGGGCTCAGGGATCAAATCCCGGCTTGGAGGCAAGCACCTTGCCCACTGAGACATCTTGCAGGCTCTGACCTTGAGTCTTTGATCCTCCAAAGCTCATCTCCCACGTTCCCACATGTGTGCCACCAGACCCAACTACAGGTTCATAATTGCTGTTTGAACCTACAGGATTTATAGGATATTGTGGTTTTGCATGTCTTCTATGAGTCACTTGATAATTCATTATTTCTAGGAATTTTCTGTCTCATCTAAGCCTTTCACTGTTAGCATTAAGCTACTCATAATATCCTCTTGGTATCTTGACTTTATTTTTACTTACACTGTGTGGTATGTGTGTGTGCATGTTTGCATGTGCATGTATTTATAAGAGTGCACGTGTGTACAAATGCATGTGGGGGCCAGAGGTGGACAATGGGTGTCTTCGTTTCATCCTACACTTTATCTTCCAAGACAGGCTCTCTCGTTAAACCCAGTGCCTGCTGGCCCAGCCATCACATGGGTGCTGGTACTCTGAGCCCAGTGCTTACTCAGTGAGCACTTTACCCACAGAGCTCTCCAGCCCCGCTCTCAGTATCTTTATGTATGTGGGAGTTCTTGAAATGACCCCTTCTTC